GAAGGGAGGAGGAGGGGGAGGAGGAGGGGGAGGCAGAGCGAGGGGCAGCTGCAACATGGAACTGGAATTCGAGGTGTCAACCATTTACACAGCTCCCTACCTCCGCGGGGAGTGATTTGGGTTTTTATAACTTCTGTTAAGTAAGGGTTCTTGTACTGGACCTTTTTGGGGTTTGGGTTTGGGAGCCGTGCTGATTTGGATTGCGTGGATTGGAGCTGTGTTTTGAGTGGGGCCGCCTTTTGGTGGTTGAGTATGTATGGGTATAGTTGTCGGGTTATATAACGATTGTATAAGATTGTTAAGATGAAGGAGTTTAATTGCGGCCTGCTTCGCGTTTGAAATGATTTTTACGTTGTCTTTGTGCTGGTGATTTATTGTTGAATGCCTTTATGTTTTCTGTGTTTTTTATTTGTCAGGTTAAGGGGAATATAAATAGGTACACAACATTATACAGTTATACTGTCAACGGTCGATTAGATTTCCGGAGACAAGTCAAAACTTACGCCGTACATTGTACGGTAAGTGTAAGCGCCGTATTTCGTACAATGAGCATGAGGTTTCCTTCAACACGTGACGCGGTAGTAGTAGGCGTTGTTCGAACGGCAACGTATATGCATCTTGTACGGGATAGTGAAATAGTGAAAGACGGAGCCGTCGTTTGGGGGACTCCTGAAGGAGACAGTAAAGGGAGTATGTGTGTGAAGGGGTGTGTGTGTGGAGGGGAGGAGTTGACAGACAGGCACGCGGTGATGCAAAAGGCACAAAACACAACACCCTATCGTTTGGAAAAGAGGACGAAGGAGAGCGCTGAAGGTACGATACACGCTATGATGTAACGTTCGTGTATAATCGAATATGAGACAGCGTAGCCAGCCAGCGGCGCAAACGCCCCAGTTCGGACTCTGGCCTAACCATCATTTTCAAATGATGGGACTTGTCATGAGGCGTTTATGCTTAGCTTTGTTGTGTGTTGCCTCTTGTCACACCTCCAGGCCCTTTTGGTAAACTGCCTGACGCCGCCACGTTGTGCCGCCATGTTCATCGCTGACGCGGCCAACATCAGGTATAGGCAGGGCAACTTTTTACCTCAAATAACAAACCCAAGATATAAATATCTAGATCAGAGGTTAAACGAAATGAAAAGATGAAAGAAAGAGAATCAAAGCAGGGAAGATGGCCGTACCACCGGGCGGGAAGAAAGGCGCACAATACATGGCAAACAACAAAAACATATCATTTGTCGATAAAATAAATTCGATGTAAACAAAACGGGTCAAGACAACGGCCCTAAAAACGGAGGCCGTATCGCGCCAATTCACGCCATACGACGATGGCCTGGACGATTAGCTTCGCCAAGTAACATCACTTATAACTGCGGCATTTCTGCATAAAGTTTGTTCTTGCAGGGCACAGCAACTGTCCTGCTCGTCATACGTCTCCAAAAAGCCAACAAGTAGGAACTTTTTGATTTGCTCGGGATATATGTGTACAGCTTGGCGATCCGGGGCCCCAACAAAAAGCGAACCGCAATGATTTGTTTCTGTAAGCGCTGTTGTGTTGTGTTGTGTTAGTTGTTGCTCCATAGGTAAATGCCATTTTCTGTTACAAAGAATGAAAGAGAGAAAAGGACTGAGAGGCCCGAAGAAGACGGGCCTTACGAACGGAGAAAGAGACACCGCAACTGAACTAACGCGAGGCTGCGCCAGAAACGGGCGGGCGGGCGGGCGCGCGCTGAACAACAAAAACAAGATAAGCTAACCAGCTTAATGCGCGCAATAAATGACGGCCCTGAGGACACGGGCCGTTGCGAAACAGTTAGTCTAACAGTTACGCATTGGGCCTTACGCCCAACTAACCCAGCTTACTTACGCAAGCTCGCATTAGTTGTTGCTCCATAGGTAAATGCCAAAGGAGAAGATACCCCCTCTAGCGGAAATAACAAACAAACTGAGCACCAAAACAGCGCAACGCGACGGGCCGCTAGAGGGACAAAGGACGCGAGAGCTGCCAGACAGGCACACACACCGACACGAAATAAAGCTCCCCAAGCAAAACGCCTCAACGACCTCCAAACGATACTCCAGCAGCAAGGACGGCGGACACGCCATCTCTACACAGGCAAAAGAGCAAACAAACAGAACGCTGCCAAAACCACAAGGACGAGGTCAAACCAGCGCTCTCCAACCGCGCACAGACTGACCCACCGGCCACAAACGCGACGGATCCCTCAACAAACGCTGACGGACGCCCACTGAAGGAATGGACGATAGACACGCGAGAAT